ATTGAGTATCTAAGAAATAAACTTGTTGAATTACGTTCAAAGGTGTCATCATACGGAACAAATATCTCGAGGAATTCAAAAGATCTCTTCTGAATTTGAAATACTGGTATTTGGACCGGCACGTGTGGGAAAATCAACATTAATAAAGCAAGTATCCGGCGACGATACAATAGAAACATCGGCCGAAATGAACACATGTACAATCAAAACCGAGAAACATATGGATAAATACAATATTTTTTGGTGGGATACACCAGGTAAGATAATACTGTGGTAAAAATCATTTTGCTCAGGACAAATGTTTGGTTCCAGCAAGGAAACCTGGTCTCTTTAAATCTTTAAAGAGTCTCTATTGGGCTCTTGAGTTCAAAAAAGCTTTTACGTTGAGACGGCACAGGCGGAGGACCAGATAATCATCCGTCGTCCCATCTTACAAACTATGTTTGCTTATCTGAAAGTTCGAAGTTAGATCCCGCGGGAAATGTGAGAAACATGGTTAGTGTTAATAGAGCTTTCGCGCCACACATATGAATCAGAAATGCAAGAAGATGCTTTGCTGGTCCTCCACTCCTCTCCATCCAGGAATGTGTAGCATCTATTTCATCTAGTCTCCGTCACGAAAAACTATTCAAGAAGTGTTAAATATCCTTTGTATCTCCTTCGTTTCGTGGTCGACGAAACTCTTATACATTCATGGCTTGGTGGTTATGTTGCTCGTCAAGTACTTCAAAGGTACTATGTTCGAACCTCGACGATAGCAAAGTCTTGTAATAACCTTGACGAGTTACTTATGTTTTAGTGCCTCCGATCACCTGCCTGAAAGCATACTTACGGTGTTGTGAGGTACAATACATCTTCTCCGACTAATCCTCGTGGCTCGTGCAAGCTAGTATGTGGTTAGTGAAGTGTGTGATCAAGTAATTGGGCGAAAGAACTCTGCGTCAGGCTAGCCTTTTGGCCAGAGCTGCAATTGATGACTAGTAACGAGATGGGTGACCATTTCAGAAGTTTCAAGTGCAGGGAAGATATTGGGCTGTAGAAACTGCCATCGTAGCACCCTACACTAGTAATGATAGCCATAAAGTGGACTATTCTTCTTCTTCTATACATTTGAACAAAGTCCTGCAGTTATTCAAGACATTTTTTTATTTAGTCTAATGCAAGTAGTATTGTAATGCATCTTTTCTTTCCAAAGGCTTTGAAAATTGGACAATTGTTCAAGCGGAAAAATTTCTAAAAGATGCCTTTTACAATCGACACATATTGCCAAAAGCAGCCATATTTTGTCGTACAGCTAATTCATTGAGAAGTAAGTTCTCAAGTTGTTCAATATATGTTCGATGAATTACGAAAAAATGGAATTCTTCTTCTTTATGTCATTATAAAATGGCCATTCATTCCAGAAACAGAACAAAAAGCGATTGTCAATGAAGCCGTTGGCTTACTTGGTGGCAGAAAACGGGCCATTTATCCAATCAAAGAAGGAGGTGGAACACGTTCATCGAAAAAACATTTTCGGGCTTATGAATGCGAACCGAAAAAATCTTATATTATTCCAGTGAATTCAAAACCGGACAAAGTCATGAATATACGTGTCCCAAAAATGGGCTTAAATTCACTGCGTAAAATACTGATATCAAAATTGAATAATGAATCACAGAGTAAACTGATCGAATTGTACAAGGAAAATGTTGGATTTTGGTCAAAACTAGGCTTGGGTGCACTAGAAATATTGGATGATATTGGCATACCACGAGTCAATACAGAAATGATGTAGATAGATTCTTTTCTGGCATGTAATCCTTGGCATATCCATTTTTGACTGGGCTCAGCATCCTATTTTTTACAATGGAACCTGACGGTATTTGCGAACTTTCTACAGTTATTGAATCGACGTTGAATGAACAGGAAAATGAAATATACAAGCAAGTTAAAAATGGTGAAAATCCGCTAGTGAAAACTGGTGAATCTCTTTTACCATTGGCTACACCAGTGGCCGCTGCCGTTATGAGAGCAATGGTCGATAAATTATTTTCTTCGAACAATTAAATGTCTCAAGTCAAAACTTGGCCTGTCTATTAATCAAGAGATTTAATCTACAAATCAGAAATTTGTGTAATTGTATTGTTTTTGTTGAATTTAGAAAGACCGTTAATAATAACATGAATGAAAGAAAACAACACTTTGAGAAGACATCTAACCAAAATAGCAACAACGAATCTACTTCTCATACTTCAGCGTTATCTGACGAATGCCGATCAAATGACAGTTCGAAGATCGTGTCAGATAAATGCCTACTAAATTCTTGTACTGGTAACAATCAGTTTTCCTAAATCATTGTATACAGAAAACCTGTAAAAATGGCTGAAAATGGAGTTATGAGGACAAAAATCCGGGAAATTCTTTAGTTCCGCGAAGTCGCGAAGAATACCAAGGAATTCCCAGGAGTACAACAAAAATTTAAAAGAAAACGATAGCCTGTGGAATGGAGCCTAGATTACAAATATCATAAAGTCTGCTGTGACGATCTGCAAGTATTTGGCTTGGGCTTGACCATCTGATTAAGAATATGTGTTTTAATTTCTTTGGAACAACTTTAACTGCAAACTTTCTCTTCATTTACACTTACACCTACACCCACACGACTTCTCAGTGGCATAAAGCAGAGAGAACGATCTTACGTATGTCGGAAGAGCACTTTCCCCCATTATCCTCAAAAGACATGGATGAATCAATCTTACATCATTGATTTCTGCCTGGTCATCTGCCATCATCGGCGGATGCTGATTTTTTTATTGCACCTTAAAAAGGAATGAATAGTCGTCTAAATTACTTACATTTTGCTCAAATCATTAGTTTACAGGCCAAAAAATGCAAAATTTCGCGCTCTATTAGATTCTATAATCGACGAATAAATCTACTACTTTTTTTACCTGAAAAACTAGGGAGTACCGATTGTTGCTAAGATGGACGAAGAATAAAAGAAAATGATCTTTCTTAAAGACTCTTGTTCGCTCTCATAGCAAAACAGGTCACTTTTCCTGGGGCTGGTTTACAAGAAAACGGAATGCATCAATCGATGGGGAATTTAACGAGGATCCCAGATATGCTACCCCTTTTCCTGGACAACTCTTAGTTTTTG